CAGTGGTAATATATTGAAATAATGGTCATAAATAATGTTAGCCGAAATTGCCTCTTTTAATAAATGATCATCACCGAATCTGACATAGTTGCCGAAATTAACTTTATTGGTTATCGAAATTATCCAAAATTATTTGAACACTTTAACTTCAAATCCATTTCGGCCAACATCCTAAAAGTAGTTGATCCTCCAACAATTACAAAATCAAACTAAAATGATATTAATTCTTTTATAAAAGAAAAAAAAACAAGAAAAATTCTTCAATTGATTTATTAATAGTAGTGGTAGCAGCCACATAAGCAAGTGGAATAATAATATTTTTGCAATTGTAAATATCAATAATTGTTATAATGATATTATTAACAATAATGGCATTCAATAATAACAATAATCAAAAAATATAATAATTAATAATAACTATAGATGGGTGTTTAAACTAAATTATTTAGACATTTGGACAATTGAGACTTGTCTAAAATGTTGAAATTGAATTTTTATCGGATAATTTATTGAACATTGGGACTTGTGTATGTCCACGTGACTTTTAGTCGTATTTATCTAGGGGGTGGGGTTCAACACGAATGTTACACGCACCAAGATTTCACAAATCCAAACTGTCCCCCCCCCTTGAAATTCATAAATTCAACGTTTTTATATAACGAAATAATGTTTTTATTTACTCATACAAGCATTATTATGATTTTGATATCGCAAATCAACAATCGATTTAATTATGATGTGTTATCCATTCTAGATAAGTAAGCATTCATCAACCTTTTGAATTTATATTGGAAAATTATATTGATAAAGAGCAAAATTAAACTTAGCAGAGATTAAAAAAAGGAACAACAATTTTTTGTGCATAAGCTTTCTTTATTCGAATCACAAAAGGTATACATTTATATTATTTTTGTAGGTTATAAAAACCAGGAGGCTTAAAAGAAAGCAAAATACGACCATCGATAACCAATCGCAATATTGCATTTGCAGCACGATAAGAATCTGGCCTTGCAGATTTTCCACTATAGAAGCCTCGTTTAATAGCAAATGCTTAGAGATATAAAATAATTAGTATTATGATTTAAAAATGAAATTCGATTAAATATTAATATAATAATTATTACCTTCACAAATATCCCATGCAGACCATTTATACTCATTTTTTGTTTCAGGGGGTTGAATTTTCAATATATTCTCTAAGCGAATTCTTTCTGCCTATTTGTTTGAAAAATAATAATAATAGAAATTAAAGTTCAAAAATGAAATAGAAATGGAATGATTAAATTATTTATTAATCTTACCAAATATTTAATAGAACTATAAGGTTCTTGAACTTGTGAAATTGGATATAGTCCACATAAAATCTATTTGAATTATTTAATAATTTGTTTTTTTAAAAGATGCAAATACTAAAAAAAAAAGAGAAACAATAACCTGGATTTGTTTTGATAATAGACTTGGAAAAACTAATCCAGGAGAATCACATAATCTAACATTAGCAGATAGATGAATGGTTTGAAAATGTTTTGTATGGCCTATATATATTAAATATGAATCAGTTATATATATTAAATATTTATGATTAATAATATTATAATCAATAAACACCTGGAGTTCTTGAAGTGCTTACAACAGTTTTACCCATAAAACTATTTATAAAGCTACTTTTTCCAACATTTGGATGTCCTAATTATTATTAGGACGACATTTTAAAATGTTAGAAATAATATATAGGAACTTGGAATGATAAATTAACTTGCTTCATTTTAATGTTACCTATTACCTATTAAACCAATTGTAATTAAATTATTTCTAGGTGTCGTTTCACATTGAATGCCTAATAATTTTAATTGTGTCTCTAGAAAATTAAAAAACCGATTTTTAAAACAATTACTTGTTAACTTTTTTCAGCGTGTAGTTTTAAATCTTTTAATAAAAGCTATCGTACCTATTTGATTAACATCACTATTATTCAATTCATTTTGGACGTAAAAGAATAGCTTTAAAGGATGTGAGTAACATTAATAACAACAACAACACCAATAATAATAATAATAATAATGCATCTACCAGTAATTTAAGCACATTAAAATCATCAAAAATTGAAAATAATGTTGTTGCTGTATCAAGGAAACAACCCACATTATACATACCTTTGAAATCTAGAGTAGAAATTCACAAGAATACTGAAACTCGTGACGTACAATCCAAAAACGATGATAACAAGCTTATCAATACAAAATATAATTTTAATTTAACAAACAAAAACCAGCAAATTGATTCGAATGATTCAAATACAAACATCATAGCTGCAAAAACAAAGCAAGCATTTTTAATTGATCCAGTATTGGTTACAACTACTGAATCTATAAATTATGAAAATAAGATAGAAACGTTAAGTTCAAAGAAACCAAAAACTCAAGATTGGGATGATCTTGATTCAGAGGAGATGGATGATCCGATGATGGTGGCAGAGTATGCAGTGGATATTTTTGCTTATTTAAGAAACTTGGAGGCAAGAATTTTTAATTATAATATTATAATAATATATTGATGAAAGATAATAAATAACAATTAATAATTTGATTAACCAATTAATTAGAATGAAACCATGCCAATACGTGATTACATGAAAGGTCAAACAGAATTGAATTGGAAGATGAGAACAATTCTTATTAATTGGATTATTGAAATACATTATAAATTTGATCTACTTCCTGAAACACTGTTTCTATCAGTAAACATTCTTGATAGATTCCTTTCTGAGAGTGTAGTGAAAATGGCAAAGTTACAGCTTGCAGGAATCACTGCTGTTTTTATCGCATCGAAATATGAAGAAATGGCGGCACCATCAATCACGAATTATTTATATATGTCTGATGGTGGTTATGCCGAAGAAGAAATTCTCAAAGCTGAAAGATATGTTTTACAATTATTAAATTACAAGTTGTGCTATCCAAATCCGATGCATTTTCTTCGAAGAATTTCAAAAGCTGATCAATATGACATTCGGTCTCGTACTCTTGCCAAATATTTGATGGAGATAACACTTATAGATCATAATTTTGTATCATGTAGACCTTCGATGATTGCTGCATCTTCATTGTACCTTGCTCGTATAATGCTTAATTGTGGTGAATGGGTAATATTTAAAAAATCTTTAATTTTTTGTTGAAGGTAATATATTAAATAACATATATTTGTTTAATTTCTTAGCATTCCAATTTGATCCATTATTCCACCTTTACGGAACAAGAAATCATACCATATTCAGATATGATATTAAAATATTTGGCCAAAGATAAAAACATTAACTATGCTTTCCGAAAATATTCCACAAGTAGATTCATGAGAGTAAGTATATTTGTTAGAGATTGGATTGCAAAACACAGACATTTGGAACATCAAAGACTTTGATTATATGTTAGAATTTTATTGCTACTATTTATTTATTAAAAGAATGTTTTATTGATAAAATTTTTTAAAACAAATGTGTTGGATATTTTTAAAACAAAGTAGTAATAAATAGCAAGAATTACTTGTAATCAATATTCAATGTAAACGAGTCTTGTTATCCTATATCAGGCGTGCACAAAGTAATGTAAAGATTAATTTTTATTTAAGAAGCAAATGTGATTGTGATAATAAATTTTGTTTATTATAACTCAAAGTATTCTTTCTTGTATTTTTATGTTTGAAAAAAATACCAAGACATAAATTTTTGATGATCTGCATCATAGTAAAATTCGAATTTACATAGTAAAATTTTACAATCAAGTGACTTCTAATCC